CTAATTCCAAAGCAATGTTCGTCAGAAGTTTTATACTTCTGTACTAATAAAGTTGCTATACTATCATTAAACACACTTTGTAAACACACTACAAAGCATCTCCCACCCAGTTTTATTTTTTCTTCGCTCCTTTGGTTGACTTAAGTATCAGTTTCAAGTCAAAAGTGAATGAGGTAAAACCTGGACTCCTAATGGCAAGAAAGGATACTTAAGAAGAAGACTTTTGATTGAAGACTCCTCTCCAAGACTCTATAATAGGGCAGGCAGGTTTACAGGAAGAGTATTCACCAAAGGCTATGCCATGCGCAGTGGTCTTGTCCTCTAGGAAATTCACTAGACTCCAAGCTTCCTGAAGCATGTAAACAAATTTTCAGTTTTTTTTTTTTTTTTTTGGGAGGAATTTTGCCTATCCCCCTCTGACCCTAAATTTTTAGTTACACCGGATCTACTGGAATTTCATTGGCTAAAGATTTGGAGTTGGATAACACCATCAGTAACAAAAGATAAACAAGACATACATGTGTTTCACGTGTTCCTTTTCGTATTACTACCCTTGCAGATAGGTGTTGCTCTCACTGCGGTCATCAACTTAATCCAGTATAAGCACTTTAAGGATTGTATATACTTAGGCCTATCTGTTGAAACTGCATCCTCCTATAAAATCGAAAAAAGAAAGAGTCCATCCGATCATGGTAAAGGTCACAAGATACTTCAATCATTTTTAGTATTGAAGTTACCTATTATTGACAGTCAAGTAGGTTCTAGTAGCTCTTACAAATAGGCAAAGATCTGTTTAATTTTTATAAAAAACAAACAAGGTGAACAGGAGGTTTTTTCCAGTTGGTGGGTTTTTTATTCCTGATTTATGGTTTGTGGGAGGACCAGAAACTAAAAACCAATATCAAGACTTTTAATACGACTCCCCCTCAAGTATGGCCACTTTGGCCATTAGTGGTACCCACCAATCTTACTTCTAGTGAAAGTACTTGTTGGAAACTATCGCCAGATTGAAAGATCCCCTAAAGACTTAGTCTGACTTTGGAAGAGTTGCACCTTTTTAAATAAGCAGCTTATGCTTGAAGCTGATATTATCTTTAGGATTAGATCGTCAACCCCTTCACAGGTTTTAAGGCACCCTCCTGACCATAGGTCCCACTGATCTTTGAATGAGTAGTCCCCTAGGCAGACTCCCAGATGAGATAGTATCAATAAAGCTGGCCTCTGAAACCATCCCCCTCCCATCTGAAAGAAGAAGAAGATGTAGAAGAAGTCCCCCTTTCTTCCTTTCAAAGATTAAGAAACACAGTACTCCAGTGAATAATCCGTAGGTGTTGACTTCTCCTTGGTATTAGCTTCAGTGGATAGTCGGTAGTAAAGAAAATTTAGGTCTTCGTCCGACAGTGCCCTGATGTTTTTTCTTTTTGTTCTTGCACTAGTTTAAGAGTAATTTTAGATTAGTCTCTTCAGGTTTGAAGCAGCAACATGCATTTCGGTAAACTGTTAGGTTTTAGAAAGTTTAATAGCCTTTTTTAATAGTTGCAATAATTTCAATGTATTTTGAATTTTATTCTATTATCACTAATAAACATAGCTGAGCTGGCAATTAAAAAAAAAAAAAAAAAAAAAAAATTAACCAATAATATATAGTATATATTGTAGATCTTTTTTCAATAGTTAAATTTTTTAATTACTGCATAATAACTATCCCTTTATAGTAGACCCGCCCGTCCTCATTTTTTTTTTTTTTACTACAATAATTAATTTTTTTTCGAACAGACTCGGGGTGGTTTACGCAGCAATTTACTGTAAATTGAAAATTATACTTTATAAATTTCCCCTATAGCAAACTTTTTTTTTTCGGAAGTACTAGACTATTATTTTGGCATTACGTATTATAGGCATATACAGTAATATATGCGTATCACGGGTAAAATTTGAAAATCCAATCCACGCTAAAAATGTAAAAAAAAAAAGTTAAACTTTTTCTTTGTTCGCACAAATATATATATACTGCATCTTCAAATAAATGTCAACAAACTGGTTAGATCTATTATCTAGGGATTACTTGGTGCTCCTAGAAACTAGCGAACATTATGATATAGTGATTCATGTGGGTCAGGAGCCCGAAGTTAAAGAATTTAGAGCACATTCATTAGTATTACGAACGAGATCTACATACTTCAAGGCAGCACTGTCGAGTAATTGGGCTCGTTTGGAAGGCGGTTTATTTGTTTTCAACAAACCGAATATATCTCCCAAAGTATTCGAGATAATATTAAAGTATAGTTTTATTGGTTTTCGTTGCGCAACTTTATCATGTTAAGTGACCAAAGTCCTTAGATTGAAGTTTTTTTACTTATAGGTATATATACGGGGCCACCGTAGATTTACCAGAAAAGGATGTGGAGTTCAATATTGACGTCCTAACGGCAGCAGAGGAGTTGTGCTTGTCGGATCTATTTGAATACATAGAGAATCATCTGCTCAATAATCCAGAGGGGTTACTTGCTCACTTTGCTTTAGTGTATCACTTTGCGAGAAAGCATGAACAATTTAGAAGGTTGTTAGAATTCTGTGACAATACTATGGAACAGGATCCATCAATCATATTCGAAGCTGAGGATTTTGTCAACATGAATCAGGTTACTTTGATCTCCATACTTAAAAAGAAATTCTTGATCATTAGGGAAATTGAGCTGTGGGATAAATTGGTAGAATGGACGATTGCTCAGGTTCCCTCGCTTTCGTCTGATCTGGAATCTTGGACTCCGGAGGATTTTATTACGTTTGGTAAAATTGTCCAATCATTCTTGCCATATGTTAATTTCTCATTGGTTAGTCACGAGGATTTTAACAAAAAGGTTAGGCCATTTAAGCGTTCGTTTGGTGACGATCTTTATGCCCGAATACTGGAGCACCACTTATCGCAACTTAATGTTGCTACAGCGACGTTATTTCAAACCTGGAGTCAGGATATCGATTCAAAACTGATTACAATGAAGCAATCAGCATTGATTTGCGGATGGATGGTAAATGATTGTAATATACAACCTCATAATATTCCATTTGAATTTAGGTTGTTAGTGAGAGGTAGTCGTGACGGATTTGGTCCAAAAACCTTTCATGAACGATGTGATCTAAGAGGACCAACAATTACTGTATTGAGAGTACACCATTCAGGTGAAGTACTTGGGGGATTTAATCCTCTGAATTGGGAAACACACGTTGACGGGATATTTAATCGAACAAAGAAAAGTTTCATATTTTCACTTGGACACGAACAGTTGAACAATGCTATATATAGTAAAGTGAGAGAACCGAATAAGGCGATACTGCAGTGTGTGGAATATGGTCCGTGTTTTGGATCAGACTTGGCGTTGGTTGGCAGCCATGATGGGCACTGGGAAGCTAGATGTTTGAAGGGAAACTATGAGAATCGTATAAGTCCGGGAAACTATGTATTTTTTGTCAACGAATACGAGGTGTTTCAAATCGTTAGAAAGTCGATTTGAGAAATTGTTTGCGCGTAGTAACAACGATCTTCTTTGGATATTAAGGTGTAATTAACGCTCGCACTCTTTATTCTGGGTTTATACTTGTTTATTAATTTTAATATTTACTTGCATTTTCTTTAATATGGAAGTAAGTTTCGCTGTCAACCCCAATTAGTGTACACCAGAATTATTTACAGCTCTAACCAACAAGAAGTTTGTATATTTATTTATTTATTTATTTATTTTTCCGAATGCATTTGTTAATAGCTCAACACATAGATTGTTCTTCTCAATTTGAAAATAATAAAATCAAAGAAGTTAAAAGATAATACGAATATGTTTAATTTTAATCAGCGCACGAAAATCATGGATTTAAGAAGTGAAAAAAAAAAAGGGGGGAGGTTGAGGTGAATACAAAATAATGATAATAATAATAAGGAATATAATGGAATTAATTTTTATATTATAAAGGTCTTCTATGGGCAGAAAATCGATGTAAATGCAAAGAAATTTTACGCTAATTTTTAACAAGCCTAATTAGATCTTTCTAATCAAAATTTTTCCGCCCAAAAAATCTTATCTGACTAACATGATAATCAAAATTTTCAACTTCTTCTTGATATTCATCCACCAGAGAATCATATTCATTTGCAATTTCCGGATAAAATTTAATCACCGGAAACCTTAGCTGCTTGTAAGCCGCCATTAAACTGAACAGTAGCTATTATTTAAGACATTTTAGATGTGAAACTATATGATATTAATTCCATAATTGTAGATATATTTAAACCACTTACCAGCTGACCAGCTTTACCCCCACGTTTACTCAAAGGATAAAGTTTTCTGGCGAAATAGTATTCAGAAAAAAGTTTTTCGGAATCATGGGCTTCAAGGTACTGTGGAATTTGAGATTTTACAGAATTCCTGACTTTTCCGAGCGTCTCAATCCATCCTTTAACTTAAAAATATGCATGTTACTCGGTGAATACAAGTGAATATTTGACAGTCAGCAGATCACTTCACTTACTGATAGACATAAGCTTCTGAGTCACCTTGCCAGATTTCTCATCAAAATTTAGCGCCTCAGTTTCCACAATCTCCAACCATCCACCAGGCTTTAATGCCCTCAAGAATTCTTTCATTATTTTATTATGAAATTCATCGACAGTGCAGTACAGATCTACGCCTCTCAAATGGATAAAATCGAATGTATTGTCAGGGTAGGGGATCCCATCCACGATGGAATGTTTGAAGAATTTCACATTCTGGTGTGGATAAGACGTTGGAAGGTAGGACGATATATCAAACCCGGTGAATTTTGAGGATGGATATTTTTCGGCGAGTTCAAAAATCCAGTCTCCGTTACAACCGCAGCTAAAGTGCATTGAGAAAATGAATTAAAATTTTATTGGTGAAAAGAATACAAAAGAAAACTTACCCAACATCCAAAACATGAGCTCCACCGTCTTTCAAAACTTCATCCACAGGTGAACAAAAAGGTTTCTGCCAAATATGATTGATCGAAAAGTGCAAACTCCTCAACCTTTCTACCTCTGTTTCGCTATCTGGCATTGGATATGAATCAAAATCTGCAGCCTTTTCATTGGGAACGAACTGGCTGATCTCAAAATTACATTTTTCCTAGAAATTTGCAAGACCTCTTTAAAAATTGAAAAGAAATTTGGTTAAATAATTTAATTTCACCAACCATCTCGAAAATTTGTGCACAAAAAAAAAGATAATTCGCAGTACTCAAAACTTACCCTTATATATTTATTTTATCATAACCTGATCAAATGCCAACCATTCATCGAGCGTTTCTTACGTGTTTGCGAATGTGAAAATCTTCGCTGCAACCAAAGCAATTTTATTTTTTTTTGATTCGTCAGATCAATTATCTGTGGAAATTATCGGCAAATATTTTTTCCAAAAATGTATTGAATGCAAAAAAAAAACTCGATAAATTAGGAAAGCTTACCAATAGCATTGCTCTTCAAGATCAATTCATGTAATCGACTAGCGAATAATCCTCCTGGTTGATTGTATTTTTTTCCTTAATTTAAAAAGGAAACTTGCGTAGTTATCCATTTGATTTTGCGCAGTCTAGAAGCGTCCCGTGTAATGCAATCAACCATTAAGTGGTTCTTTTGTTTGTAACATGATAATAATGATGATAATAGCAATAAACTTTATTTTCAAGCAAATACAATGAGGTATCGGTATAGCGGAAACTGATATACGGAATCTCGTATACAGTTATACCGAGATTTACTTTGTATATTACCGAAAATAAACAACACGCGACGTATTTATTGAATGCATGCTTTTTTCTAACTCATTAAGCTAGGCTAGTAATGTACATTTATTATGTCGATTATTTTATCACTGTTGTATAATTAATATTACGATAATATAAAATCAAGTATAAAATGCACTTGAGCATTGTATACTTGCATAATCTTTTTTTTTTTTTTTTTTTTTTTTTTTAATGCTGGCTCAGCCTTGTTTTATTTGTATTTATGTAGTATTATACATAGAAGTTTTCTAAGATATATTACCAGTCTACTATCAAACAAAACTTAATAGAGATAACCTCTCTTAAGAGGAACTCACCTTGCGGCTTGTTGCCACCCGTTTAGTGGAAGCTAACCTGCTAAGGGTATACTTATATAATCTAAGTTAATCTAATCAGTATTAAAATTAGTAACTCCTGCTTTTGCAAAATTTCAATCTTACTTATAACTTGATAAATATATAGTAGAGGACAAAAAAATTAAAATTTTTGTTATAATTTAAAATTTATTTATTTAAAAAATATATAAAAATATTAATAAAAATATTTAGTTTTATAAATTAATTTTTAATTAAAATAATTTATATTTGTTTAATAATATTATTTTTGATTTTTTTTTTAAAATTTTATATATTAAGTTATATAAATATTATAAATATTATATTATTTTATAACAAATTATATATTGTATATAATTATATTTAAAAGGTCAAATTTATATACGGTAACTTACAAAAGTTTGGGATCATCTAATAGTATTTTTATAGTTTTTTCAACTTAATCATTTTTTATTTCCCTTCTTTCTTTTATAAAAATTTCACAAAAATTATTATATGTTCCTTTGGTTCAAGATT